CCCTCCGCGTGAGCCGGGCGGGGCGGCGCAAGGCGAGCGCGGCCGCGGAGAGGGCAGGGTCCCGGCCATGGCCTCCATGGCGGCGGCGATCGCAGCCTCGCGCTCGGCGGTCATGAACGGGAACCGGCCTCTGGACGACAAGGAGCGGAAGCGCTTCACCTACTTCTCATCGCTGAGCCCCATGGCCAGGAAGATCATGCAGGACAAGGAGAAGATCCGCGAGAAGTACGGGCCCGAGTGGGAGCGGCTGCCCCCCGCGCAGCAGGACGAGATCATCGACCAGCACCTGGTGGGCCCGCACGTCCAGGCCCGCTACGCGGCACACCGCGCCGGCGCCCGAGACCCCGCACCCGCCGGCCTCCCCGGCCCGCGCGGGCCCACGGGCCAGAAGATCGTGCACTTCGGGGACGAGGTGGGCGCGGGTACCCAGGGGCTGGAGGGAGAAAAGCAGCCCGGGCGGAGGAGGGGGAGGGGCGTCCCGGAGCCGCAGATGGGGTGAGGTGGGGGAGGGGCGCTCCCCGGCGGGGTGGGGGCGGGTGTGGAGGAATCGCCGAGAAGTGAGGGATCTTAAAAGACCCTCGGTCTGGACCTGCCCCGCCGGTGCCGCACCAGAGCCTGAGACTTCGCCAGGAGTGGGCGGCGGCCTCTTGGCAGACAACCCAAAGTGGAAGAGATCAAAGCCTTTTAAGCATGACAAGCGTGGATTGTAACCCAGCGCTGCCACTTAGTAGCTGTGTGGCGTGAGTGACTTAAGCTCATAGAGCCTCAGTTAGTTAGCCCCTGTGTTAAACCGGAATAATAATACCCCGCCCACAGGGTTTTTGTGAGCGGAGAGGACCTGGGTGCCTGGTACAGTGCCTGCCAGAGAAGTCACGCAGTACATGAGAGGCGTTATTATGACTGTTTATCGTGAGCATTATGGGGACAGTGAGATTGCCAAGCGAGATAACAAGAAGTGCTTCCCGAGGTTAGAAGGGGAAGGCAAAATCCCTAGGCAAACCCCTGAGCTGGGTGCCCGCTGAGCTTTACGCACTGGTTATGTCTTGAGGGTCAGCGTTGTGGCGCCCGCTTTTCCGCTGAACAAGTAAGGCACGGGGAGTTCAGACGAGCTCCTAGAAGCCTCCGCTACGTTAAAGTATGTGTAGGTCTCTGATGGAGACGCTGTGCCCAGACTTCTCTAAAGGGACAGTCATTGGAGGACAAAACACTGACCCTGTACAAGAAAAAGGCTCACTCCCCACTTCACAAAGGCCGGAGGGGTTTGTGCTGCTCAGAAACTTCGGTCTTCTTTTTCTTGGAAACGTGTTTAAGCAACACCTCTTTAGTGCCATGAGAATCTGCAGCGTGGCTATTTGGCCTTTCAAACTAAACTGTGAGAATGAAGGGCAGAGTCAAAAGGAGTGAAGATTATAAAAATGAAATCAGCATGCTAAGGCTGTTAAGCTGGAGGGAGTAGGCACTGCGCTTGGAGAGTTTTTCAGGGGAAGTTGTTGACTGTTGAAGTAATTGAAGTTAGAATGAGGTTTAAATCTAGTTTTGAGGCTTGGGGTGTGCTGAGGCATTTATTAATACAAAAAGTTTGTGGTAATAAAGCCACTTGAATGTGAGAGGAGTATGAAACGACAGAAATATACTGCCAACATTGCCTTATTCTGACGGAATTAAAAGAAAATTCTCCATTGGGCTTTAAACTCCAAGGGCTTTGCCAGGAAAACAAGGGTGAAGTAAACTGGGAAAGTTTTAAGATGTATTCCTAGAGCTGAAAGATTTTTCAGGGTGAAAATATAGCCTACCTATAGAGACATGTGTGCAGTATCTGTGCTCAGCTTGGAGAGATGAAAAGTAGTTGGCACTTCGAACTTTCGAAGATTCATGAATAAATAAATAGTAGAGGAAATAAACCTGTAAATACTTACAAATGTTGAAATGTGACAGTCATTTTTCCTGGCTTGGTGTCTGGCTAAACATATGCACACATCTGCTTATAATCAAAAAGCCCGTGCCGTATAAAAACCTGATGTCACCAATAAGGAAAGATGTGGCCAAATTATTTTTTTACTCTATTCTGTACTAAATGCCAGACTAAGCTGCTTGTGAACCCAATGTGACGGGCTGTGCACTGTGGCACCTGCATGCCCTGCCAGGAGCAAACCAGCCTTTCTCAGAGTTGAATCTCGGCTTTGCGAAACTGACTATGACCGCGCCCCAGATGTGTCTGACCAGCCTCGGCACAGATGGCAGAGGGGCAGATAGACACTGAATTTTAGGAGGGGTGCATAGAAATGTTGCCCAGTGGGTAGAGTTGTCTACAATGGCAGCCTGCCACAGTTGAATGGCACTAAGGAGTTTAAAATGCTTTCCTCCGGGCTGGTTAAGAGATTGGCACCAGGGTGGAGTCAGTGGTCTCATTGTTGCCCTAAGAGATCCTGGGTTTGTCCAAAATGACCCTGACCTAGACTGAGTAGGACACTCTCTCCCTTCCTGCTTGACCTGTCTCCTAATTTGGTCCCAGGGGCCTCCACATTCAATCAAGTGTTGGAGCACGCACCCCTGGCCACCCGGTGCCTTGTGGTGCTAGGGTCCACCAGCCTGTGTGACCCCAGCACCCATAAGTGGACCTCTGACAAGTGGGCAGCCCAGGCACACCACAGCTTTTGCCTTTAGCCAGTGTCTGACCTTAGAAGACAATCAGAGGAAGGCTTGGCCAGTCAATAGATGAAAAACCCCTGGGAACGCTGGTTCTGAGGGCCTTTCTTAGGGGCTCTAGCAGGAGAAGGAGCCCTGGCGGT